GGATAAGGACATCAATTGTATAATTGATCCCCGAATTATGGGTCCTCGACTGGTTATATACCTCTCAAGTGGTATTAACTATTTACCATTGGTTATTGAAATTTCCTCATATTTATCCTGAAGATAACTTAATTTGTGTTACACAAATAAATTATGTAAATACATTTGATGATATTTTTAATCTATATCAACTCCGGAAGAGCAACAAATGACGATTTTATGTTAGAAACTCTTACCTTGAGGGGGAGCAACATACAATTATGAATGTAACTAAAAAGGTTTTTCCTTCAGGGGGAGCGATAAATAAATCTCGAAGATCGAGCCCAGAAGGTTAATTATAATTCTGAAAATTAGGCCCTGTTGGCCGGTGTTGTACTTTTTTTCCCTTGACTAAGTTTTTTTTTTTGGATTTTACTTAGTGAGGTTTTTAATGAGGCAGCATGTGTAACACATAAATTTGCATATGTTATGTACTCTTTTCCTCGACTGCTTTTTCCTACAGGGTTTTGCAGTGAGGTTTTTAACGAGGCATAGACATGATGTGGTAATGTCCAAGGGGGAGTGTTGTAAATATTAATTTGTGGACATTACCTAGATATAAGATTTATAGGTATGGGTCAGGAGCCCATTAGGTCTTTACTCATGTACATTGTATTTCCTTATATATAGGGCTCAACTGAATGAATAAGATGAGACTTTACGGCGTATCTCTTCTCTCTTATTCTCTTCTATTACTTTTTCTCTTTGTCTATCTTGTCTATCTTACATATTAACAATCTATATTACAACACAAAATATTTTTAAAATGATAAACAAGGCATGTGCCTCTAGATTATATTGCAATTACCCAAAGAGTATTGCACTTTATATGTCAACACAGTGCACTTTATAAAACAAAATGTTACACTTTATAAAAATATAAAGCGTTGCACTTTATAAAATAATACGTTGCACATTATCACCATACTCCACAATTAACGTCAATAGCTCCCGACAAAATACGACACAACATAAATCCAAATAAACAGTTATAAATTCATGCACTTTATATAGCAGAATGTTGCACTTTATAAAATAGTATGTTGCACTTTGTAAAATATCACGTTGCACTCTACATAATAGTTTAATTATATCCATCAATCATCTACCCACACAAAAATACAAGTGTGTTAACAGACCAAAATTCCAGTATGGTTGCACTTTATACAACGTTTCATTGTACCTTATATAATATCATGTTGCACCTTGTAAAAACAACACAAATAAGGTGTTACAAAAATAATATAAAAATAATAAATAAGATTATTAACATATTAAATATAAATTTCGTATAAATAACAAATTATTTAAATTGTTTAGGATAATTCGGTTAGCCAAACCGAATAAATCAACTGATATATTCATGTCCAATTCGATGTGTTAAGAAAAGGTCAGTTGGTTGAATATGTACAATACAGACACTGTGCACTATAGTATTGGACAAATTGTACCTTAATAACTATTATATTGCACAATATATTTCGTTTATTTGAATATGTAGTTTTTTTAATCGAAACGTAATATAGAATATTAAATATGAATTCATATTAAATAATATAATTTTTTTAATTATTTTGAGTTATTTCAATTAACCAACAAATTAAAAAGATTGTTTTGTGTATATAATCAATTGATTTGCCCCATGTATAATAATATAATATAATTTTTGATATATTACAGATTTTTCCAAGGTATTAAATTGAAATAAATGAAACTTCAAAAAAATACAATCAAGTCCCTACAACATATCAAATTCTCAAACTGTAACCCACAAATCCAAATCACATTTTTCAATCTTCTGTTTTCGTTCACCTCCGCCTCCGGCGTTCAGTCACCGCCGCTAAGGTCGCCCTCCGCTTTCCTTAACTCTCGGCGCCTAACGTCGCCATGGACTGTGCTCTGCACATTGA